GTTCAACAGACAAAAGACCAAGACAACTCAACCTAAGTACATGGTGAAGCTAATCTATGAATCCCTTCCACATGAGTTCTCGAATTTATTGAAAGTAAGGCCGGTTTTAATCTATAAATAACTATATAAATAATTTACAGTCCTCGTCGTTATAACATTTATAAGCAGCCATATAAAATAAAATAAAACTAGGATAGATATACTCAAGTCAAACAGGTGAGCTTCGAAGGGCAACTAAAGAATCCAAATGACCTCAGTATATATTAATATCTCTTCTACGTTCCTTAACTATTGTCAACATTATTCTATAAATTTATCTTCCGCAATCACTCTAACGACGATTTAATCATTTTAATTTTGCCTTACACATTGCACACCAACGCGGATTGGCCTGGACTTTCCGCATTCCAGTTACAATTTCAAGGGCTACAAAGAACTGCAAAGAAATAATGGTTTTTTAGAAAATATGGTACTCCACTCTCGCTTGATTGGCCAGCTCGTCTCTGGCGCGCTTGTTTGCACAAACCTCCTTTGAAGCTGCCGCCCCGTTACCTCTTGTGAGTTTGGCTCATTTTCAAGAGTTAGTCTCACCCACCTGGACTGCTTTTGACCCATGGTTGCTGCGGAGTGTCCCTCAGGAGACGCTTGGCGTCTGGAATCGTCAAGAGGCGAGGCGAGTTTGGCGCCCAGTAGATGCCATTGATGACGACAGAGGCGTAAGGTGCGATCTATACGTCGGAAATGGGAGAAAGGTGGGATGAGTTTTGCAGTAAAATAGAGCATATGAGTGCGAATGTATGAACAATGTTCGAGGCAGAAGACCCGTGACCAAGTAGGTCACGACATGAGTGAAATGTCTAAATGGCACTGAAGATGTATGTCACCATAACAGCGACCAAGTGGACCCTATTGCATGCCGGTCCAATCGTTTCAATCGAGTGAAAATGTGTGTTAAAGAGATTTAGAAGATCCATCTTGGTCATGTATGTACACACAAAGACCTATAAGCACATGCTTCTAAATTGAAATATGACCACAGCAATTTATACTCCATTAGAATGCATGGGTTTATGGTAGATAAATACCATGTTTTATTGACCTGTTAGTTGGAGTATGGTGGTTGTAAGGTATGATGATGTCCGTCGTGTGACAGACGAAAACTGAGCAAGGTTTCACCGGAGTTGAAGGTTCTGATAGTGTTAATCAGAACGTTCCAGTAAGGCCAGCCAAGGGGGGGATCTATCGTCGTCTTTTAGTGGGAACCAGTTTCGAATCTCCTCGGCACATCTTCACTAAAAATGGAAGTGGGGTCAGGGATCATAAATCAAAAGATAACCTAAAAGCCTTTTTGGCATATCACATCAATTCTGAGACCATTTAGACGAAATTTCGAAAATCCCAGCCTTTTTTTGAGCGACGACACGTAAAGTGAGGTCGTTCAGGTGATGGGAATAATGAACAACAATGAAAAAAGTCAACAATCTTGTAAAAGCATGGCTGTATCGGAAAAAGTGACTTTCTCTCGGAGGGTGTCGTCGAGCAGAATCGAGCATTCCCTGTCACTCCTTCCTTAAGGCACTGGTATGGTGAAGCCTAGAAACGTATGAGGAGTATAAAAAAGTAGAAATAACTAGCCCTGTGGTGTTACACAGGACTGTGGTTCACATCGGATGACGCTTTTACAGCGAATCTCAGCCATTACCGTCAAACCTATCTCCAGAATGGCAACAATTTGTTCACACAAACAAGACCCACCTTTGTGCTGAACGTTGAGATGTATCGCTCAGGATGGCTGTCGAACTCGTCGGCGTCGAAAAGTCCATCCTCCCGGCGCTGGTAGTGGTCCTGACGGCTCACCACGCAGCCATACACCTTGCGATTGTCTGTGTGCATTCGGGGATGTAGAATGGGTTAGATTGAGAGAATTGTTCGCACGAAAAGCAATCATTTATTTAACATCCTGCGGATTATCCCATCTTTGCCCGGTTAATTCTAAAGTGATGAGAATGGTTTATAAATGCCATTCCGCATAAATTACATCTGCATGGTGAAGTCAACACCCAATTTCGCTTAGTCATTGCAACTCATTTTTTGAGCCTCACACCTACAAAGTAGTTTGCGTTTCAAGGGCCATACACGCAAACCGGAGGGGGAATTTAGCTAAAGTTGCTAGTCAAGAATTAGCCATCGTTTAGGCAGTAGAAATGAGGAAAAAATTAAAAAATATATCTTCATGGTATGAAGACCAAGATGGTGTGGCCTTTTGTGTGGTCGCAGTCTCCCTTCGTCGTATAGAAGTTGTTTGACCTTGTTTACGCAACATGGTCATATTGGTAGGAAAAATTAGACGAACGAACCTAGTCCGGAGTCCATTGTATGCAACACACAACAACTAGTCACATAGACAAGTGACGCCAATCCTTCTGCTCTGGGTAGCATCCTATCATGCTTTGGCAAGCCTATCTCGTGTCTTTGGATTGACTAGCATCTACACTACTCATAAGTAGCATAGTGCATATTCTTCACCGATGCCTACTTATTGCCTTAAATACGAACTGTATTCGTTCTAGGACACATAAGTTGACGAAGGACTGATGGTTAAGGTTTCCCACAATGATATGAATTGGTCTGACGATGCCATTGCATTTCATTTATCCATGTCTCTTAAAAGGTGTTCTCATCCGGATCGGGTATAATTTCCACTAGCCGCAGGGCAGACATGGAGTTCAAGGCGGGCCAGATCTCATTCAAGATCTACTGAGAGTCTCCAAACTACAAAGTGTGAATAGAAGTGGCATAGTTAGGGGGAACTTTATTTCGAATGAAAGTACATGATGAAGAGATTCGTTTGTCGTTCTTACCAGATGAGGACGGATGAAAATCGATGTACTGCAGCCTTTTAGCTTTTATATTATATTCATGTTGACGCAGTCGACGAGTATTCCTCCCTCGT